AGATTTAAAATGTTTTAACGTTTCTAGACCAAAATAGTTATAAATAAAACTAGAATTAAAACGATGGTATTTAAACGGGTAATTAGTCACACGCATTATAAGGCCAGCGTTTATTAAAATTAATTAATGAAAGGCTCGTATAAATTAAACAAAATTAAACAATCATATATAGTAGGCCAACTAAACGAGCAAATAAATAAGATGTAAAAATTTTTTTATTAATAGTTAAATCATTAAATTAACATTCCGTTACAGAATCGATATAAATTGTAAACGTTTCGACTGCACTACAGTCTTTATCAATACATAAAAATTAAATATTAAAATATAAAGTTAGATGTTAAAAATACAAAGTTAGTTAAATATTAAAATATAAAATTGAAACGATTCTTCGCTGTTGACCAATAGATATGCAAGGCGATTGGTCTGAGATGCCAAGTTATGCGACATTTGAGCATGCTACGGATATAATACGCGAATTAAATCAATGTCAGAAAATATTAAAAAATCTTTCAACTTACATTATCGTTTTAACAAGTCCTTTTCCCCGATATTTCAAGTGTGTGTTGCGAAGTCTGAATACCAAATGTCAAAATAGAGAGCGTGATGTATTTATTTATTACCAATGTTTTTTCTAAATTATGATTCAGCAAATTTTTTAAGTATGTCAAAATAACTACTGTCTAACAATTCGGTGTCTGTATTTAAATTAATTCCATTTTCTGTTCTTTAATGTGGATCATTTCAGATATTAGTCTTTTATGGTAATTCTTTTCATGATCCATAATTTTAATATTGTCCCAGTCAAATGTATGTTGTTCGTTTAGAATGTGTTCCGTGATAACCGAATGTCTAGCAGAGTCTAATTTAATATTATTTTTATGTTCTTTAAGTCTCGTTCCTAACTGTCTTTTTGTCTGTCCGACATATGTGGCGTCACAATCGTTGCAATTCAATTTGTAAATAACGTTAGAATTCGTGGGGCAATTATTTTTGTCCTTTTGAACTCTTATGAAGTCATTTAATTTTTTAATGCAACGATATCCTACCACTACGTCAGGTCTTCTTATTGCTGAAGCAACTTTCTCAGATATTGATTCTATATATGGTATGACAAAATATTTAATGTTAGTATTAGTATTATTAGTATCTGTTATATTGTTATTATTAGGCTTGTTAAATTTCTTAGTTGAGAGATTTTTTAATCTGCGTTTTATTTCTGTGAAAATTAGATCATCATTCTATCAGGGAAAATAATACAAGATACCGACATAATAGCTTCATTGGACGTTGTTTCATTATTTACTAATGTTTCCGTAGATCTTGCATTAAACGGTATCAATAATAGATGGCATTTTATAGAGTCACACACAAAGATTCCCAAAAATGAATTCATAGGTATGATAAAATTTATATTAACTTCTACATTTTTCACTTTTAATAACATAACTTACAAACAAATTTATGGGACTCCTATGGGGTTCCCCACTTTCTCCGATCATTGCCGATATAGTCATGCAGGACTTGGAAACATTAGTAATTAGTAATTTAAATTGCGAAATGACTTTCTATTTCCGTTATGTAGACGACATTATTTTATGCACTTCCGCTGACAACATTACATATGTTTTGAACGAATTCAACAATTATAACGATAGACTACAATTTACATTGGAAAAGGAGGATAATCGTTGTATAAGCTTTTTAGACATAATGATCAAAGTAATAGATAACAAAATTTATTTAGATTGGTATCACAAAAAGACATTCTCAGGTAGATTACTTTCATTTTTTTCAAATCATCCGACTTGTCATAAAATAGGAACAATTTATAACTTGGTAGATAGAGCTTTATTACTATCACATCCGCAATTTCACAAAAAAAATATAGAGAAAGCTATTAACATTTTGCTATCCAACGGTTATTCTCTTGATCTAATTTTCACAGAAATAAAACGCAGATTAAAAAATCTCTCAACTAAGAAATTTAACAAGCCTAATAATAACAATATAACAGATACTAATAATACTAATACTAACATTAAATATTTTGTCATACCATATATAGAATCAATATCTGAGAAAGTTGCTTCAGCAATAAGAAGACCTGACGTAGTGGTAGGATATCGTTGCATTAAAAATTAAATGACTTCATAAGAGTTCAAAAGGACAAAAATAATTGCCCCACGAATTCTAACGTTATTTACAAATTGAATTGCAACGATTGTGACGCCACATATGTCGGACAGACAAAAAGACAGTTAGGAACGAGACTTAAAGAACATAAAAATAATATTAAATTAGACTCTGCTAGACATTCGGTTATCACGGAACACATTCTAAACGAACAACATACATTTGACTGGGACAATATTAAAATTATGGATCATGAAAAGAATTACCATAAAAGACTAATATCTGAAATGATCCACATTAAAGAACAGAAAAATGGAATTAATTTAAATACAGACACCGAATTGTTAGACAGTAGTTATTTTGACATACTTAAAAAATTTGCTGAATCATAATTTAGAAAAAACATTGGTAATAAATAAATACATCACGCTCTCTATTTTGACATTTGGTATTCAGACTTCGCAACACACACTTGAAATATCGGGGAAAAGGACTTGTTAAAACGATAATGTAAGTTGAAAGATTTTTTAATATTTTCTGACATTGATTTAATTCGCGTATTATATCCGTAGCATGCTCAAATGTCGCATAACTTGGCATCTCAGACCAATCGCCTTGCATATCTATTGGTCAACAGCGAAGAATCGTTTCAATTTTATATTTTAATATTTAACTAACTTTGTATTTTTAACATCTAACTTTATATTTTAATATTTAATTTTTATGTATTGATAAAGACTGTAGTGCAGTCGAAACGTTTACAATTTATATCGATTCTGTAACGGAATGTTAATTTAATGATTTAACTATTAATAAAAAAATTTTTACATCTTATTTATTTGCTCGTTTAGTTGGCCTACTATATATGATTGTTTAATTTTGTTTAATTTATACGAGCCTTTCATTAATTAATTGTAATGTATTTATCTCTCAATTTTTCGGTAATAAAATCTTTGTGGCAGATTCAGCTGTTTCTATAAGTTCTAGAGGCGTAGATGGTCTTGTGAACACTCGTTTCTTTTATCTATTTTATCCTTTTTGAATAATGAAGGTTATAACGAATTGACGTTTTGTCTTGCATGAACTTTGTTACGTTCAAGTTTGTTATGTCAGTCGAGAAATGGTAAAACAAAAACAAGGTTTTTTACGCACTAGTGCAAAAAAGTAACTCATATTACCGCACTAGTGTGGTAAAGTAAATCATAAAAATGCTTTTCTCGCACTAGTATGATAAAGTAAGACATACATTGAAGATACACTCGTTGAGAAATAAGCCATTTTCCACGCTAAACAGCAATCGAAAATCGAACTTTTGCAACAAGTATTGCAAAAAGATTTAAAAAAAACAATTTTTTTAAAAAAATTTCAAGCTTTAACACCAAAGACTTTGTAATTTTTTTTACACACGTCGTAGGTCGGCAAAGTAGGCAGAAAATTTCTAATTTTATCCAAGTCGTAGTTTTCTGCGTGTAAAAATGATCAAACTAACAGAAATTTTAAAAAATTGGGAGCTTATTTATATAAAGTAGAGATTTCAAACATAAAACCTTTTTTGAAATTTGAATTTCGTTCATTTTTAACGAAGTTACAGCTGATTGAATTTTAACTATTTTTTAAGGAAAATTTAAGCATTCCTCTAATTTTTTTTATTAGTGTATTTTAATTCAGATTTACAATGGATTAATTACATAGGTCGACAAATTTTAAAACTCATAGATTAGACTAACAAGGGAACCATCACAAGAGTCCGACACCTATTTGATTTTCCTTGAAATATGTTATAAAGTATACAAATTTAAGGTACACGTATTTTTTTATACCTGCCCAATCGAAAGTTTAGGGAGTGATTCACCCTTATGAAAAAATGAATTTTTTCTTTTATAAAGAGAAAACTAAATTATTTAGAAATAATAAAGAAAACTAAATTGGCCGAACATTTATGATACTTCTTCCAGTTGAGTGTTTCTTATAGAGGGAGGTATGTGTGTTTGTATCACATTTTTAACAAAATTGATTTTTAGAAAAAAAGTGTATGGCAATTTTGTACCATACCATAGAATTTGTTATAAAATTTTCTACAATTTGCTAATAACAAAAATATATAAATTTTCATACTTGGACGGGGAAAGATTTCAAAAAAATTTTAATTTTTTTAAAATTGGAAGTGCACAGGCATAAAGTGCATAAAAAACCGAATTACTTTTGTTTTAAACATTTTTTTATATCTCTTTTTGTTTAGATAATATTATTCCCTTGGAAAATAAAAAATTTATTTTTTTATAAGGGTGAATCACCCCCTAAATCTTCGATTGGGCACGTATAAAAAAATACGTGTACCTTTTTATATATTAAATAGGCATTGCATAATCTTGAACAAAAATGAAATAATAACTGCAGAATTATTAATGGCAGTAAAATTATGTGACAAAATTATAATATTTTATATTCCCGGATAGCAATGCCTAATTATCAGATTGCATTGTCATGATCTTCTGGTTTAGATTGAAATGTGTTGTATATCTTGTAAGCATATTATAATAATAGGTATCATAAGCACAAGTTACATACATTTGATGAAAAATGTGAGCTAAAATATTAATTTGAGTATTATTTATGTACTTATATTGACATTTTTTGCAAAATTTTAAAGATAAATATGACCGTGTTTTGAATAGCATATGAGCCTGCATCTCTGTCGATTTTTGTCATCATGTTTGTAAGAATATGAATACAATATGAATACAGAATGCATATGTTTTGCTGTCTGGGTTCTTATTATAAGTGCATAATACTCGTATTGTGTAACATATGTATACAATATAGTTTATACTTTATTATTACAAATTGTAAATATATATTTTTTTACAGTTTAACATCCAATTACATTTAAAAAATTTTATAATGAAATTTGAAAAGATTGTAAATGATGAAGTACTGGTGAAAAAACCACATAAGATTGAATGGCAAATTATTTGGGCAAATGTTATTATTGCCATATATATTCATTTTACTGCCCTTTATGGAATATACTTAACCACCTTTTATCCTATTAAACTTTGGACTTTCATCTGGTGTACGTATTTCATTTATTTAACCTATTATTCCATAATATATTTATAACTACACACATTAATAGAAATAATATAGTAAATTATTAGTAAACGTTTATTTTGAATTAATAAACTTTATAAGAATTTCATATGATATATACATATATACATATATATGCATATTAATATAGGGGATTAATAATTTGATAAATTTCTCAAAAGTAAATTGATCAAAATGTTCAATTCTCAATTTGAGAGTTATTTTCGTGGTATCATATCAACGAAAAAGTGCCTTGAGCACACCATCGATGATTTTAATTTCATCGAAACTAATGTGCCAACATTCGGCTTTCATGCTTATTTTATGTTTAATATGACTATTTGTAAATTTACAGTCTTCGCTGTTGGTATATTTTCAAATATAGGAACCACTGCTGGCGTTCATAGATTATGGTTTCATCGGTCTTATAAGGCAAAGTGGCCGATGAGACTTATTCTTATGATTTTCCAGACTATTTCTTATCAAGTAAGTTTTAATTTAACTTTTTTCTTTCATATTCAAGTATAGTAAAGGACTCACACTTATATATATGGGCTATTGATTAAAGTTTTACATTTTGTTTCTTTTAAAGCGCAATAAACAATCTATGGAGATTGTAGGAAGAGTACGAACTCGGCCTTTGAATTCGGACAGAAAAACTCTAAAAACTTATCTGTAAAAAAATAAAAAAGGCGCCTAGTATGGGCTTACCAGTAGTGAAAATTTACGCATTGCACACCCATGTAGAAGTCTATGAAAAATTAATCATTGCAAACCTATGTAGAATCCTATAAAAATTAATTATTGCAAACCCATGTAGAATCCTATGAAAATTTAACCATTGCAGACCCATATAGAATCGTACTACAAAAGTAATAATATTAAAAAAAAAAAATTACGCCAAGTATAAATAGATACTTGTACCAATGGAAAATTCAAATTGCAAATCTATATAGTCGTATAATGAACTAATAAAAAATAAAAAATTTTAGTTAAAAAACTTGGGACGCAGTTGTAAGAATAAAATGATATAGGATGACTAAAAGGAGCAAGAAAGATCAGATTTTAATGAGTCCAATAATATAGTATTTCGTAGTTCAATATTCTTAGTCAATCTTACTTCGGCGATGGCTCGAGGAAGACTCCCCATTTTCGTTGTCCGTACTTAGGACTTTTTCCCTTACCTTCTCGCAGGCTCTCGTTTTCCTACGTCTCGCGTAAACACGTATTGTTCGCTTATTATTCTCTTCGACTTTCACATTCCTTTCTCGCTCGATCATCGCTCTCCTTATTATTTCTACTACACATTCAATTCTGTGCAGAAACCTTCGATTCATTTTTTTTCTCACAGAACGGAAAACATTTATTTGATTACTGGTTCGACTGTTTGTACGGATTAGGAAGGATGTGATCTGGATAAATTACTCGTGGTTTGTTAAATGAGTGACTTTATTCAAAATAATTAAAGTGAAAGTAAACTTGATTTGCTATCTAGGCTTTGCTCGCGAAAAACTCGAACGAGCTCTTGAGATGATCTTTCTCCGCCGAGCTCTTTGGGCCGACCTCTCTTCAAAATACGCAGGATCGACGGCAACGGCAGCCGATCGATCCTTCGCTTGAACGCGTGGCACGCACGTGCCGAAACGTAATTCGCTAGCGAGGCTCGAAGGCTCGAGACAAAGGCGCGTTTTTGTCAACTTCTCGCGCTCGGAATCGAAAATACGCGGAATAACAACTCGGCGGCGAATATATTCGTGACCTTGTTTTAGCATTCTCGCAAGGCTTTTATAATTTTAAACAACACAGTTAAATAATATCCTAATAATATTAAAATTAAGGGGTAACACTACTGTAAAATTTTCAAATAATCGATAATTTTTTTTGCTTAAAAAATTCTTTGAACCTTGGAGAATATGGGGAAAAAGTTTAATACATTAAAAAATTTTTCCTTGAAATTGCGAGCTCTTTACTGAGCGCGCCGGGCTGCTTCGAAACGACTACCTGCGTTGGTTGGATACCTGTTGAGAAGGTAATGCCTAAGGACTTATTTGTTGTTGTCGAGAAAAGAGATTGAGGAGGAATATTTCAACGTAGAAGGGCAGCTTTATGGTCCTGGGATTGCAGATTAATGGTAAAAATTTTTTAAAAGTAGAATTCTTCATTTTTTTATGTCTATAACATTTCAAAACTATCAACGCGTTTTTCTCGAAATACGATTTTTGAAATTGGCACGCAGCATAACTCGAACAATTTTCATACTTTTTATTTAAATTTTTTACTATATCTTCAAAAAAACATTTCGAAAAGAAATATGTAGGGAATTTTTGATAAGTTGATTTAAAAATTATTTATTAACAAATAACTGTTCCGTTTTTGGTCGAAAATTGAACAAAATTATTCAAATATTCGTCAATCACACAAAATACAATATTCATAAATAAATGTTGATCGCCAGTGACAATTTAAAAATAATACTGAGACAAATTACTTTGACCAAAAACAGGCTAATTTTTTTATTAAAAGTAAATGAACATTACGTTTCGACCAACATTGTGGCGGTCCTTTTCAAGTGTTATTCTTATTCCGCAATTACATTAATCCGAAACGGAAACGTGAAATTTTCACCTGTCATGTTAACATTCTGTTAGCTACTGAAGCTAAAAACAATATTTCTAAATTCCCCTACGTATTTTTCTAGCTAAAATCATGTAGATTAAGTGATTTTTTTTTGTTCCAAATTCAAATTTACGTAAGCTACACTGCGTACCGCAGAGCGCCTAAAATTCAAATATTGAGTAGATTCTGGATGTAATTTAAAATTGTGGAACCCGTCTTTGAAGTCAAGTATAACGTAAAAATTTTTTTTCCCTCGAGGCGGGATAAACAGTTTTCAATATATGGAAAACAATAATTTTGTCTCACTACTCGTTCATTCAGGGGACAAAGATCTATGCAAAGACAAAATGACCCGTTTTTCTTTTTAATTAAGACGATTCGAGCACAGTAAGGCGATTTACTTTCTTTGATTATTCCTCTAGCTAAAAGATCGTCAGTTAATTTTCGGATTTACTGTCTTTCATAATTTGCAAAACGTCTGGATCTATAATTGTAAATGGAATCGTTTTTAAGTGAAACTTTAACGAAGTAATCGTCGTGGATTCTATCAATTTGTGTATTTTCTATGTTTTTAATAGTAGAAACTAGTTGTTTTTTAATTGAGTCATCAAAATCGATTTCCATATTAACGAGGATATCTTATAAATTATCAAATGGGCCTCCATATTATCAATCGATGCTACTTCTCGGAGAAGTAGTTTATCTTTTGTTTCGTTTAAGGACGGTTTGTATATAAGTTCGAGTTTATTATCGATGAGAAAATTGCCTATTACTAGATTCGTAGAGAACGAGTCACAGTTTAAAACATATAATTTAATGTTTATCGGGATATTTGAAAATTTTTCAAACTTTATTTTTGTTTCTACCGATCCGATTAAATCTAATGGGGTACCGTTTATCGCTAAAAATGAGCTAATTTCCGAATTAATTGTAAGGTTTTACAAATTTTTCGTATGCGGAACGGCAAATCAATGATATAGGACTACCGGTATCCAAAAGTGCATTCATCTTACAAGCAATATCGCCAATTTCGGAAAGCGATTGAACAATTTTACCCGTTTTGATTTCTGTTACGGCTGCTGACGATGATGAGATCGAAGGCTGCTTTCGTTATTCTTTCTTTTTTAACTTGGTGCAGTCAGACCGGAGATGACCCTTAGTTTTGCAGTAAACGCAGAAGACTTCGTTAGCTATTTTTGATGATTGCGTTTTCTTATCTTCAGATGTGTTTCCTGTTGATTTATTCTCTTTTTTCTCTTGCTTGATTCTTGGTGCGTTTCCACACGAAGTTATGTTGCGTATGTCTTCCAAAAATTAAGCTACCGATTCCGCTCGAATGGACGCGGCGACGCCTCTCAGGGCTAAGCTTCTTATGCCGTTAATTAGTAAATGAATAGCGTCCTGTTCTGGTAAATTCATGCTCTGCATCAATGCAATCTTGTCTGTTGCGTATTCTTGAAATGATTCCTTAGTAAAATTCCACACGCGAGCCTCTATTTTTTGCAAAGCCATGTGAAAAAGGATTTTATTTTTAAACATCTTAATGATAGCTTCTTTAATACCAGTCCATGATTCTATAGCTGAGCCGGTATTTGTGTCATATCAACGGCAATCCAGTTTTTTGAGCTTACTTGTTGCTGCGAGGAATGTTATGTTTGATGAGACCCCATGGATTTGCCAGACCTTTTCTATTTTCTGTATCCACAGTTCTACATTCTCGTCCTCAGATCCACTTAACTCCGGAATCTGTGACGACAAAAGTTGAACGGCTTGGGTTGGTGAAGTAGTAGCCAGGGTAGGTTGCTGCTGTACATTTGGTGTACTGAAATTGTCTTCTAGCCCCTCCCCATGAGACATAGAAGCTGGATTGACACGGGCACGCTGATTTCCGTTTCCGAATGCTTTTAATAACTGTTTCATTGTCTCTTGTTGATTGTTGATTTGTGCTTGTTGCTGTTTAATTTGTTCCACCAGTAATGAGCAATATAGCGGTAAGGATGCTTCATTTGATACTGCACTGTGAGTGATTTGTTGTCCAGAAGCTTCCGATAAAGGCGAGGCTGCTCTTGCTGTGCCTGCTTCTGTAAACGTGTTTAGCACTCGATCTGATCCTGCTCTTCTTTTTGCATTAGAATGCTCGAAATATGCCATGATGGCGTCGATACATTTTTCTCGAGTATTTGGTATTGGGAGACCGCATTTGGCGACTTCTTCTTCTAGCGCTTGTTGCGTATAACCGTCGAGCTGTTTTCTCAACATTGTCTAATTATAATAATACATAAATTTTAAATCGGCCAATAGAGCCCAAGCGCAAAAAATTTATTCTTCGGAACTGTATCTCTTGGTTTGAGATTACTAAGTTCCATATATAAATTAATCTCGAACTTACATATGGAGAAAAATAGGCGAGAAAAGTTGGTAAGAGCAGTCGCCCGGAAAGTGAAAGACGCGGGTTTGATTCCCGTTTCAGCGACTTTTCAGACCTATATTTTTCTCCACATATAAGTTTGAGATTAATTTATATATGGAACTTATTGTTAGTAATCTCAAACCAAGAGATACAGTTCCGAAGAATGAATTTTTCGCGCTTGGGCTCTATTGGCCGATTTAAAATTTATGTATTATTATTATTAATAATATTGAGAGCCGACATATACTTATCTGATTTTATTTACGCCTGGGCCTAATCATGGCGTTATTTACTAACATCTACTAAAAGGCAAATGAAAAATATAGGATCGAAAAGGTCTGAATAGCTTAGTTGGTAAGAGCAGTCGCCCGGAAAGTGAAAGACGCGGGTTCGATTCCCGCTTCAGCAACTTTTCGGACCTATATTTTTCTCGCCTATTTTTCTCCATATGTAAGTTCGAGATTAATTTATATATGGAACTTAGTAATCTCAAACCAAGAGATACAGTTCCGAAGAATTAATTTTTCGCGCTTGGGCTCTATTGGCCGATTTAAAATTCATGTATTCTTATTATTAATAATATTGAGAGCCGACGTATATTTCTTATCTGATTGTCTAATTATGTTATTGTTACGTTCGAACATAAAAGGAAAATATCAACATCAACGCCTGTTACTTGGTAAGAAGTTTTTGCAATGCACGATTTGTTT